CTTGTGTTCACTATGTTGTTGGTGTATGCTCATCAGGATACACTGAACAGACTTGTGTTCACTATGTTGTTGGTGTATGCTCATCAGGATACACTGAACAGACTTGTGTTTACTATGTTGTTGGTGTATGCTCATCAGGATACACTGAACAGACTTGTGTTTACTATGTTGTTGGTGTATGCTCATCAACAGTAAATTCTCCCCTGCTAAGTCCTGTATTTATTAGTTTAACGTGAAGGGTCCTAGAGACGAAATGAGCCATGTTGTCAAACCTCAATGCACTGGCCAATAAGCATTGAGTTGTTAACCAGTAACCACATTGTCGCAGACTACAAGAATTTTGGTGAAAAAAAAGATGCTAACCATAATACGGCAACAACAATTTTAAAGTCGGCAACTTTTGTTAGATTGGATTGGTATTTCGGCAGAAATTGGGGAAAATAAAAATTCCCCAGGTCATAATGTTAAAAAAATCTCTCATTTGGCCCAAATTTCAGATAATCGATTGGATTACAGCAAAGAGAGACATATTTCTAAGCCTGGCCATACAATGACATGTCATTTAATTATCTTAACCACTCTGCTATGAAGTGACAAGTATTTATTGTAAACACTCCGCTATGAAGTGACAAGTATTTATTGTAAACACTCCGCTATGAGGTGACAAGTATTTATTGTACACACTCCGCTATGAAGTGACATTTATTTATTGTAAACACTGCTATGAAATGACATTTATTTATTGTAAACACTCTGCTATGAAATGACATTTATTTATTGTAAACACTGCTATGAAATGACATTTATTTATTGTAAACACTCTGCTATGAAATGACATTTATTTATTGTAAACACTGCTATGAAATGACATTTATTTATTGTAAACACTCTGCTATGAAGTGACAAGTATTTATTGTAAACACTGCTATGAAGTGACAAGTATTTATTGTAAACACTGCTATGAAGTGACAAGTATTTATTGTAAACACTCTGCTATGAAGTGACAAGTATTTATTGTAAACACTGCTATGAAGTGACAAGTATTTATTGTAAACACTGCTATGAAATGACATTTATTTATTGTAAACAGTCTGCTTTGAAGTGAGAACTATTTAATGTAAACACTAATATAAAGTGACACGTATTTAATGTAAACACTACAATAAAGTAACATGTATTTAATGTAAACACTAATATAAAGTGACACGTATTTAATGTAAACACTACTATAAAGTGAAATGTATTTAATGTAAACACTACTATAAAGTGAAATGTATTTAATGTAAACACTACTATAAAGTGAAATGTATTTAATGTAAACACTACTATAAAGTGACACGTATTTAATGTAAACACTACTATAAAGTGAAATGTATTTAATGTAAACACTAATATAAAGTGACACGTATTTAATGTAAACACTAATATAAAGTGACAAGTATTTAATGTAAACACTAATATAAAGTGACAAGTATTTAATGTAAACACTACTATAAAGTGACAAGTATCTAATGTAAACACTAATATAAAGTGACAAGTATTTAATGTAAACACTACTACAAAATGACACGTATTTAATGTAAACACTACTATAAAGTGACACGTATTTAATGTAAACACTACTATAAAGTGACATGTATTTAATGTAAACACTACTATAAAGTGACATGTATTTAATGTAAACACTACTCTTATACTGACATGTACTTGATAAGAACACTTCACAGTTTCATTATAGTGTACAGTGGACATACAAGTCACATACAGAATGGTAATATAAGCTGTACATAAAATATCCTGCAGTTTGTTTTACATTAAAATATTTTTTAGTCACAAACTTAAAAACATGCATAAAAAATGTACAGTTAACTAACCTCTTTCCTCTTCTGTTTCTTCTCCATGCTCATCTTCATCATCATCATCATCAACTTCTATCATGGCTTTTGGCAAATTTTCAGATTCAAGATTGATTCTATATAGAAATTTTGAAAAACCTTTATTATATGATCTTTATATGGTCAAAAGGAATTTTGAAAATAAATCTGAGAAAATACTTGAATTAAGAAATCCAATCTAATAAGGTGGATTTTTATACCTTCTAACAAGATCGAAAATGGCTTCAATATTGTTTTCTCCATCTGTTTTATGACACTTATTTCTGATACACATCATACATAACAACATATGTTACCTTAGTGATGTCTGATACACCCATATGTACATCACAACACATCACCCCAATTGACGTCTGATACACCCACATGACCCCCAGTGATGTCTGATACATCCACATATACATCACAACACATGACCCCTAGTGATATTTAATACACCCACAGGTACATAACAACACATGACCCCTAGTGATTTCTAATACACCCACAGGTACATCACAACACATCACCCCTATTGACATCTGATACACCCACATGTACATCACAACACATGACCCCCAGTGATGTCTGATACATCCACATGTACATCACAACACATGACCCCTAGTGATGTCTGATACACCTACATGTACATCACAACACATGACCCCCAGTGATGTCTGATACATCCACAGGTACATAACAACACATGACCTCTAGTGATTTCTAATACACCCACAGGTACATCACAACACACGACACCACAGTGATGTATGATACATCCACGTGTATATCACAACACGACCCAACTCACCTAAAAACACTTTTAAAGCTGTTATACATCTATTACTTCCTCTAGTCTCTAAGAGTGAGCACAGCTTGCAGCAATCATCTACACGTGTGTGTGTGTGTATATGGTATAAGTACACAACAGATTTAGTGAAGGTGATACACCCTTCTGTTTAGTGATTATTGGTTTATCCATCTGAATCAGTCACATTGTGGGGGTTACATAAATGTTGTTTTAATTAAAGAAATCAATGGCTACAAAGATAACATAAACTTGGGACTCAAGCCACTTGCATCCTCTTTAACTCAAATACCTTGGTGTGTCAATATCACATGGTTGTATGGTTTGTTTCATTGCACTAAAAAGAGTATTAACCGATGATATAATTTGAAACTTTAGTAGAACTTTCTAAACATTATGTAACTTCTGTAAAATATCCTACTTTTATACATGATATTTGTATGAATTCATGCATTTTTAAAGAAACAATTAAAAATATTTTCCTTTTTAATTACTCATTTTTGTAAGACTTTACAGTTTAGTTTTTATTTTATGAAACTTTAAATTTTATCTTTGTTTCTATTTCAAAAATACTGCGCAATATTTTGCTGTGTTTATGATCACTGGCATACAATAAAAAATCACCTTTTACTGAACTGAAATTATAAACAACCAACTTTTAAAATAGTTAATCGGAAGGTTTTATTTAAGATATTAAATAATTTTTAAATCATTTTATACAAATTTTTTACATTTCATTTTGGTGATTTTTTTTCCCCCATTCTAGTAGTTACTCAAGCTGATAAGGCCTAATAACAGCTGCCTTGTCAGCAAAACAAAACTTGATATTATTGAATTTAAAATGATTTAACTAAGCCTACCTTACCTTGTTCCTTAAAAACATTTCCTATCACACTGCAACAACATCATAATTCAAATGAAGCATAAAACGATAAAACAAGCTTTAACAAATCAATAATGTCTGTAATTGTGATGGCAGTTGTTTCTAAACATGTTGCCTTCCGACAACATATCACCAAACTAAGCTCTTATCATTTTATTCCAACCTCTAAGTGAATTTCTGCTGAAATTGAAGACATATTGGCTTATTCAGTTGAACATAAAAAAGTTTCATTATGTGCTTAGGTAACTAGCCTATGAATTCTTGAAGCTCAGATATAAACAATAATTACACCACACTATGGCAACCATGTTGAGAAATGGTGATTGGCTAAAATGAATAAAACTGTACTTGGATTGATATTACAAGGTTCAAATTGGTGCTGTTTTATTAAAAATTATTTTTACTCTCCTTCTATCTTCACAGACACTAATGTTTACCTCCAGAGTATACTGAAATCAGTTCCAAATCAAAATTTGAGATTAAAAAAATATATATATATTTACATAATTAAATAAATAAAGCTTTGTGAATAAATTTCAACTCTAAATTTGTAAAAATTCATACAAACTTATTTTCCATAAATGTTTCTAATCCAATAATGGAATTTCCCCCTCAGTGATGGAGGGTCACACTGGGTGCTAAAGGTTAAGGTATCCTTCTTTTGTAGAAAGTATTTCCTCAGTTGATATTTTAAATTTCTTTCCCTTGCCAACACATAAAGCACCCATTACAATTTCATCATATTGAAATTTGGCTGAATATTACATATAACATCTATGTACATTGCAATGAGAAAAGCACCTTGAATACAACAATTACAATTGGATGAAAGCTATAGGTAATCATCAAACTGTTAGTAAATTTTATGGGTAAGCCTAAATAAGATCAACGTCCAATAGAAGCTAAAAACTACAGGTAATCATCCAACTATTGGCTAATTTTCTGGTTAAGCCTAAATAAGCTCAACAGCCATAACTTGATGTAAACTAAAGGTAATTAACAAACTTGTGGTTAATTTTATGGTAAAGCCTTAGTTAAATATCAAATACAACTCTATTTTGTAAACAATCAAATGTACTTCTTTGTTAGAAGTGCTGCATCAAGAGCATCTCTCTTACTGGCTTGAATACCCTCCACATCTTCATCTGTGTAGTAGTTAAATGGAGTTTTTGGTTCATCAACTTTCATGTGTCCATAGTCTTTATCTGGAGGATGTAGAGTTTGGAGGATGTTCATCTCATCCCATTGGATGTCTTGGCTAAAATACAAAATTCACCAGATCAAAACATATAACTTATGAAACCCAAACTTGAACACACTGCTTTCAACTGAATGAAGTTAAACAACAGCCGTAGAAAAAAATTATAGTAACTATACTGGCAAAACAAATGCAATATTTGTGTTGATTAATATAGAACAAACAAAAATATACATAGAAAAATAATTAAAGTGATATATAACTAAATATATCAGGTAAGTATCAACAAGAAGATTAATTACTGCACAGAAAAGAAAATGTTGTATGATAAAATATTACTGAAGAACATTAACAGTACAGCTCTCAGTATTAACCACATAACTGATGAACATTAACAGTACAGCTCTCAGTATTAACCACATCACTGAAGAACATTAACAGTACAGCTCTCAGTATTAACCACATCACTGAAGAACATTAACAGTACAGCTCTCAGTATTAACCACATCACTGAAGAACAGTAACAGTACAGCTCTCAGTATTAACCACATCACTGATGAACAGTAACAGTACAGCTCTCAGTATTAACCACATCACTGATGAACATTAACAGTACAGCTCTCAGTATTAACCACATCAAAACTACATAAAACTTTTAAGTTTCTACCCGACTGCTCTGTAAGCACGACACTCTTACAAGTAAAACTACATATAACTTGTAAGTTTCTACCTGACTGCCCTGTAAAAACAAAACTCTTACTATGCACATTTCACATGTTGTTACATAAGTTCATCGGCAGTTCTTATTCCCAAACTTACATATGAATGAGATGTTTTTTGCTGAACCACTTAGCTAATGAGTACATTCTGCAGGTCGCTAATTAATTAATATATATATAATTTCTTATACAGGATTAATGTAACAAAAAACAAAACATAAAAGAGTGTTTTTTCTTCTTCTAAATTGACCATATATGCTAATTAAAGTTCTAAGCTGAACACACAACATTTGCAAACACATTTATGTTTACAGTACATGTAAGTAACACAGAATATATTAATCATACTTATAACTGTACAAAAAAGTTACAGTACAGTAAAAATTGTTCATTAAAAAAAAATTACTGATTTTCTTTACAGTCTATAATTTTCAGTGACAAAAGAATTCCTACAGAACAATGAATCAAGATCAAATCAGTTGTACTCATGAATCATACAATATATGAAACACACATTAACAATACTGTTTAATAAATTAAGTAATGTTTTTTTACTAAAGTATTTACACTGAGTGTGCTAAAATGCTTGTAATTATGATGCATTTCAGTGTTATTGCCCAACTGAGAAAATGTCAACATATTTAAAATTAACAAGAGATTATTATAGCTTCTATATACATATATATAAATATAAAAAATAAATAAATAAAAAAACCAGAACTCACCTTTTATGCCTTCTACTGGGTAAAGCATTAAAATAAAATAAAACACGTGTTTAATATCTGGACAAAATGAGTAAAGATTGAAAATTGGTTATTCTTTCCATATTTAAACATCAATGATCTAACATGTGCTGATTTTCATATTATATTATTTTTCTTCAATAAACAAAAAGTTAATATACGAACATGGGAAAAGCCTTGATGACACAAAGCCATTTGACCCTCTGAGGTCAGATAAGAAAGAAACCTGTCCAGTATAAACACATCAATAAAATTATCAAACAAAAAAGAATTCAAAACAACCAGCATACACATGAAATTTGACAAACAAATCAACAAATATAACAAACTTTTACTTAATAACCAGCCTGAACCTGGACTTGAGTACTGTATATTTATTTGATATAAAACTTCATCTGTCCACCACAAATAGTCCAAAAAACTGATCATGGGCAGTTTATCCAAGCTCCTAACAATTTGAAACACTTGAATTAGATCACTAGTTTTTTCAGTAGAAAAAATTTAATTTTCAGATATTTTATTATAGTTTAAATGACTGCATGCAATAAGGAGCACAGGGGCGGATTGGCCTATCGGG